AGAGTCAAAAGCCTTGCTGGAGTTGAGACAGCATCAGCTATCCTACCCTTGTTGACCCATCCTGTCATGCCATCATAGAGGAGTATCAGACTGGTCACCATGCACAGAAGACAATTTTCTCACAGAAATCCAGATGAAAAAAGCATAAAAACATTTTCCCTATAGGTTACTTTTATGCATAAGGTGAACAGCTCCACAGTTTTTATATATTTAAAAGAAGAGAAAAGTGATGGATAGAAACTTTTAATGACTGAGTACTAAATGTTTGGTATATGATCACTGTGGTGTAGTACAGTACTTAAAGATTGAGATATGATAAAGAATTGATGTGCAGTTAGTGGGACACCTATATATAGCTCTTACCTAAAAGCACATAACAGCAAGGCAAGGGAAGTGTATCCCCTCAGCGGTGTGCATTAGCTCTCATTGACTTCACACTCTGACTTCAGAAAACATAATTACTTTAACCTGATGTAGCCCTTGTTTTTTCTAGAAATAAAACTCACATACTTTTCAGAAACACACAGGCAGTATTCAGTCTTTGCAAAACTATTGATGGATTCTTTTGATGAGGAATTCAGTGTTCATAATCTTACCATGGGAAACTGCCCCCTGGCCTGTCCTGTCACTATGGCATCCTTATAATTTCTAAAATATTTTAGAAATTATGATGTTTACTGTTATCAATGAAATGCCCCAGTTGCAGGACTGAAAATAATGTTTCTTGGTTTGAGTTTGGGGTGAGTGGAGATGGGCACATTATGCACTATTAAAAGGCTGAGTGTCAAGTGCTACTTATATAGAGGTTACTTAATATAGTGCTACTTACAAAGTGGTTTATGATTTAAAATAAGATATTTAAATTTGTAAGATTATAAAAATTGAAAAAAATGAAAACTTTTAATACTTGAATAATGTATTTGACAGTGGTAGAGATAGGTATATTTTGGCAAATGCAGTTATCCAGGGTACTCAGTTTTCCAACAATAACACCATGATGTCCTGTCCTTCTGGCTGAGTAGTTGCACACAAACAAGCAGCTTTTTTACTGATTTTTATGTTGGAGTCCTACTGTCCATTAGACTTTTTGCTGCTCATTGAGTTGTCAAAAGAATACAAAAATATTTCATATTTTGTCATTTGGTTTGTGTTTTCAGGCTTTTCTTGTGGATCTAAGATTCTTCTACCTACTGTTGAATTCTGGAGGGCTGCTCTTACCCTGTTTTGATGCTTTATCCAAGTATGAATAAAGCAATGAAAATTCTCTGTTAAGGGCTTGTCTCCACTTCATGAATATTGCAGCATAGAATATATTGTGTCCTAAAGCCCAGAGTCCATTTCTCAGGCAAGAAACAGTTTCTGTAGCTGCTTATATGAAGAAGTGCTACTATCAAACCAACTGATATAGTTTTATATTTCTACATTTCTAAAATGCAGTTTGTCAGATGAAAGCAGCTTGGCCAGCAGCCTGTGCCACATCAGTTTTCTGTGGGTTATCTCTTAGTGCTCTGAAGATGATGATAGCATAGTTCCTGGTCATGGAGTATTTGGATGATACTTTGTAGGCATGACCGAAGTATGAGGCCATTTTCTTGGGGTTTTTTTTTCTTTTCTTTGTTTTCTTTTTGTGTTTGTTTGGTTGGTTGGTTGGTTGGTTGGTTTTTTTTCCAAGGACATTTCAGTTGCTGTTAACTTAGAAGGGATTCTTTGCCTTAGCTGACACTCCCAGTGCAGAGGTTGTCTCTGCTGGGAAGGGAAGGACCCTGTGAGGTCCAACACAGCGTCACTTGACATGAGTGTCTGCAGAGAGATGTAAAGTATGTGCAGAGTATCCTGAAGAATAGCCTCAAAGAGTAACTGCAAGGAAGGAGTAAATGATCCTTAAGGTGTCTTACTGCACCACTTGGTACCTCTCAGATACCTTAGGTACCTTACTCTTTTGTTGGGTTTTTTTTATTTGAAGTTTTTTATGATTTTGCTTTCTGCACTTCTTGTCTGAGCAAGTTTCTCTGAATGACTTTGAATCCCAGATTGTTTCTTCTGTGTGATACAATATAATATTACAAATTATTGTATTATATATTGTAAAATAGTAGCTATCATAGGCCAGGTTGGATGGGGCTCTGAACGACCTGGTCTAGTGTCAGGTGTCCCTGCCCATGGCAGGGTGGGGTTGGAAATAGAGGATCTGTAAGGTCCCTTCCAACCCAAGCCTTTCTGTGGTTTGATGATTATATCAAACATCAAAAGGATCATACCAAAATGAAGAATTTTATTTTTCCGTAACAGAAAAATGGGAATCATAACATTTTGCTATTAATGACAGCAATATATCTTTTTTAAACCATTATGAGTTAGCCTCATAATTAATATAATGTAATATGAATAGTTGATGAAGTCATATTTTATAGGGCAAAATAAAAATTAAGATGCCATAATATATATAAAACATAGTAATTATTAATGGAAATTGAGTTTTTTGTGGCATTTGTGTAACTTACGAAGTCAGGCAGTGTGTGTGATACAGCTTTGCTTTTACAATTTAGTATAGTGTAACTGTTTCTCTCTCATGAGACTCTCTCATGAGACTCTCTCATGAGACTCTGAATAAAATGAAAATGTATACACTGTCTGTATGTTGGGGCCATTCCTTTTTGAACTGAAGCAGTGTCATTATTGATTAAAGTATATTGCATCTCCTAGTTCAAGAAAAAAATATATTAATTAATTACATTGTAAGTGGCTTTCCCTATTTTATTTTGATTATGTAAGATGCAGGCAGACATTTACTAGAGTGTCCAATTTTTTTTCTATTCCCATGTAACAGCAATGTTTTCAAACATAGTCCAGTAAAGCAGAAATAAATGTATGCTGTCCAGGAATTACATTGTGAAATACAAATAGAGAAAGAAAAACACACACATTTCTTTACATGAAGTTCTGCAAATTAAATTCAAATTTATATTTTTTCTTTTTCTAAGACCAATGGTTATTTAATATATACTTAAAACTTGTCTGCTGTATGACAGTGTTGAGTGCTTTTCTCCTGTGAGCTGTTTTCTACAGTGACTGTCCTTGACCAAATCAGAAAATGAATTTTATTTCTCTAGTGCAAAAGGTAATTGGATTTTTCTTTATGGAATGCATCCCTTTAATGACTGTCTCTGCTTTAGCCAATTTAGCTGCAACTGACCTGACATTGATCTGGTGATATGACTTTAAAAAAATGCCAGAGTTGGGAGATGAAAGACCAGCTATTTGGTATCAGAAAAACATTGCCTGCCTCATCTCGCCATTTTCCTCAGAAAATATCTCCATCTCGAGTGTCATTCTTATGAAACATGCTCCTTTGGTAATTGGTCATAGAGCTGCAAATTGCATCCTTCTCCCAAATATAATAATTTTCCAGAAAGCATCTGGAGAAACTATTTTGAAACTTGAATAAAGCCTCTTGAAATAGCTGCTCTTCTTTGCAAATATTCATTACTAGGTAGACTATTCCTAAGAGGACAAAAAAGTGTTACTAAATGAATTGAATTAAATCTTTACAGAAGTCTTGTTCAGCATAAAATATTTATTGAAATATTTATTTAGATAATTGGGATCTTATTAAAAAATATTATAGCTTGCTGATCAGAGAAAATATTTATCCACATTAAACAGTTATTAAAGGTGGTATTTTAGGATATTATCTGTTCTTTGTTAAGGTTAGGTTCAAAGGAATAATAAAAATTCTGGAATATACATTTCTATTCATTTAACATAGTAATTATCCTTTTGACCAGCCCAGGCTAATACACTGAGCTCTTTTAACCCCAAATGGACTTGAAGCCAAAATTTAGCAGTTGAATCTATTTTTAATTTACTCATTGGCCACATGTTCTCTTTGATAAACACTCTTAATGCCATTGATTGAAAGTGGTAGCTTACACTCTGTATGACAAACTGGATTTTAAAGCATCTGTGAAATTTTGTCTTCAGTTTGAAATTATTTCCTTCTGGAATCTTAAGATTTATTTTCATTTTGATCACAACACAGTAATTTCCCACTCTGTACTGATAACAGTGATATGGAATTTGGTTTACTTATCTGCATTTTGAAGCAGGTGGTCACCCCCATTTCCTTTATCTGATCAATTATTTCTAAAATCTTTACAAATGGATAGGCTTTCCACTCTGCATCTTTTGCACAATAGAATTTATGAGTCTATTGGGATGTAACTTCTGGTGCTTTTTAGTACAGTTAATTTGAAGTAAATGGATATGAAAACACAGCTTCCCAAAGAAGCAGGTGCCTGAGGGGTATTCACCTCCCTCAGTGAGCTGAAAGTCATTTTTAATACTTCCATAAAATAAAGTACTACCACCCAGAAGTACTGCATACATATGAGTATCTGGACAGAGAAACAGATGGTCTCTTTAGACAGGAATTATGAAAATGACAATAAATATTTCATACTTTTAAAAATTTTTGCAAGTTTTAAGGGTTTTTTTTCTGTTGCCAGTCCCAAGTATGCTTTTTTTACTGATAGCAGGAACTGAGAGGACATTATAAATGTTATGAGTGCTTAATGCACAGGCTTCCACTCCCTAGCTGCAGTTCTGATCTCAAGAGTGGAAATTCTGCTGATGCTGCTCTCAGGGAAGTGCTTCTCCTCTCCCAGATTGGGCCAGAAAACTTCACAGCCACAGGGGAATGTAACTCACCATGTAACTCACCTCCTGTAGGTTCCTGTAACTTTCAGATTGGTTCCTCTTATCTTCTTATCTTTGGATCTCTACAGGTTTCATTGTTTCTCAAGGAGCTGCATGCACTTCTAGAGGCAGAATATGTAGCCTAATATTTGTTATCTTGATTGCAAACAACACTGGACACACTATTAGTCTACTATTGTCTGTTAAGCTGTGCCACACGTAAATAAAAATGTTCCTAAAGTCCTTGCTAGTACTGCCTTATGTAGCACGAGTGTAACTGTCTGCTATTTCTTCTTTCTCTGTAGGTCACAGATATGATGCTTCAGGATAAACCCTACCCAGACTGGGGAAAGTCTGCCAGAGCTTTCTGGAAGAAGGGAAACATTAGGATCATTTTATTCTGGTAGGAAAATAGTAAAATCAAATTACTGTAAACAAATCTTTTATGGAGCATTGAAAAACACGTCTTCTATGACTGTCTGTGGCAGAAAGAGATATGGTTAAAAAAAGGGTAAATCTGATCTAAATAAAATTTGCAAAAATGGTATATGAGTGAGGAATTCCTAGTCAAAAGAGTTGGTATAGAAATATAATTTTTAGATTTATTTATAAAGTTTCTTTTATTCTATTTTGGTGCTTTATAATTGAGTTGTGAAATTTTTGCTATATGTGATAGTATTTGTGTGTTCCACTGTTAATTCCTTGTAATAAAGTAGATATTTGAATTTCTTTTTGTCACCATGAAATTAATTATATAAATTCTTTGAATTACCACATGAATAGGATTAAAAACGTCACATCAGTCTCAGATAATGAAGAAAAATATTAAAAAGCAACGCAGAAAGCTGTGAGGGTTAAGAGTTTATTTCACCTTAAATGTAGCCTCTTCCAGATAAATTCCAGACAAATGTAGCTGTTGAAACAGAACACAAATTATGACAGGAAAAATGGAAGATGGAGAATACATATATATTCTAAGAAGCAGTCTGAAGACCTTATAGCTGAAGATCTAAGAAATAGCAAAGATTTTTTCAATTATATCAGAACCAGAAAAACTCATGAAAGTGTCATCAGAAATACTGTTTTAAAAAGAACAGATTTCAAAACAACTCTTACAAAGAAGCTGAAAGATTTATTTGTATGGAGTCTCCTACAGAAAATGCAATTATCTATCTTGCACTTTAAAAAAGTAAAAATAAGCTATTTTATTAAGTTGAGGCAATAAAGGAAATAGTAAGAGAAATTTGAAAGGAAAGTGGAATCAGATGGCTGATTGGCTACACACAAAGCTTATAAGAAACTGAAGGGGTTGAGCTGATGCAAATTTTATTAGTGCTTAATTGCCTATTGAAAAATTGAATATTAAAATTTGGATACTGTTTTGCTTTTTTGGCCTTTTTTTCCCCAGCAAACTAGTAATATCCTACTGGCCTGTAACTCTGAGTTCAGTTTTAGCTAAATAGATTGAATATATGAGTATATATTATAGACCATTATATATCAATAATGGAATTAGGAGCAAAACTTTAGATCAATTTCTTCTAAAGGAAGCCAGGGAATCTTTGCTGAAAGAAAACCTTCTCAGATCTGTCAGAACTGTATGCACATGTCATCCAAGTAATGGTTGAAGGAGAAATGCTTGGTATAATTTATTTGGACTTTCCCAAGGGTTTTGACAAAGTTCTTTACTGAGTGCAATTAAGAAAACTAGTAAGACTAAGTGTGCTAACATTTAGAAATCATCTCAGCAATGTGCAGTGAAAGTTATGAATAAGATAATTTTCTGCTACATTGATAAGGCTGAGGAGTTATGCTATTTAATGTTTGAAGCAGTATTCATTATTTATATACATCATAAATATTAGTGACGTGACAGAATTTAAAGATTAAGTTAATAATATGAAAAATAAATGAAAGAGTGATCTTAGAAAACTAGGTGAAAAAAATAATGTGACTGAATACTTGAGTTATAGAAGGGGGTGAGGGGATTCAAGCAGCTCCTTGTCATCATTGCAGAATGTGCAGAGGAAGATTCTGTCTCTGTGCAGGGATGGGCAAAAAGGTAAAGCAGATGTATCAAAATAATTCACAGACAGGTGCCAAGTGGGCAGCCAATGATCACAATGTCATCTGAGCAAAAAGCTCAGTCTAAAACATCATTGATTTTTTTCACCCTTGTCTGAAGGAAAGCTTTGTCTGAAAGACTGAAAAGGAGATTAGTTAAGATTTAAGAAAAAAACTTAATTACATGAAAAGACTGGAAAAATGGGAAAAAAGGATTAAAGGCAAGGTGACATGATAGTTTTCAAATTTATATGCCAGACTTGGGGACCAATAAAACCGTATTAAAATTACTTAAATATTATTGCAAGCAATTTTCTTCCACTCTGAAATGTTAAAAATCTTTATTTTATTTCTAAAAATAGTCAGAGACAAATCCTACCAAAAGTTCAATATAGAGATAAGTAAAAAAAAAAGGGTTTTCATCCAAGAACCTCATACAAAAGGGTATGCTCAAAACCTAAAGGGTGACATAGATGCTTTTATTTTTATCTTTAAGCAGTGAAATAAAATAGCCTGGATGATAGTTTATATTCTGTAGACATTATTTATATAGTGCAAATTAGACATCAGTAAAAGTAAATTTTTTGTTTTCTCCTCCAGGTAGGAAAAATAAAGGAGTGATAATATTAAGCATGGTAACATGGGGTTTTTGTATTTACTTTATTGTTGCTTAAACAATGTGATGTGTATAGCCTCATTTTTGAAATGTCCTAAATGAAGCATCCTCAACAGTGCTTCCTGCACAGATACTGGTAGGTCAAAATCCATTTATTCAGGACATTTTCTAGTAGCACACCTGCTTAGTAGAGCTACTGCAACACTGTGAATTATATTTTTATTATTCCTAGTATAGATATATGATACACAGTCTAAAGTGGTCGATGATATGAAAACCTTAGATACAAATTTGACTTGTTTTTCTGCTAATGTCTTTTTTATTTTTGTGTTTACTTTGCAAAATTAGAAAACTTCTGTAAATGTACCAAAGATGGATGGATTGTAAAGGTGGTTAATGCACCATCCATTTTTTTATGATAGTTAATTTGTGTCTGCTTTGTTTCTCATTTGTAAATGTTTTCAGTTCTCCAATGCAACTAATTCACAAAGGTTTTGATTTATCTTATCATCTCCTGTTCTAAATCATTCTCTGGAAGCATTGTCAGCAACTGCTTGTTGGTTGCTCCTGAGGATTCTGGCTGGCTTCTGAATTTCTTCACAATGTAATTCTTCCACAAATAGCTCATCTAGCTAAAGAATGATCAGTTGCTATTTGCCTTTGTGTAGTCCATCACTAAGGAGTTCTTTGAAGTGCCTTCAGCTTTTTAGAAGTCAGAGGTTGTCTTTTTTTTTTTTTTTTTTTTTTTCCATAAAGGTCTCCATCTTGGTTATTTCCAGCTCTGCTCATGGCTAATTGCAGCATTCTGAGACAGCTCTGTGTAATGCTGTTATATTGCTAAGTGATGCAATGCAAATACAAACACACTTTCTCGTGGATTTAAGAAAGTGTGTTGTCAAGAGGACTTCTAGGTAGCAATGAAGCATCTTGAACTCTGATGGAATTACTTTGAAGTGCAGACTTGCTTGTGGGTCACAAAAGAAAGATACACACAAGAATTAAATATCTGCACCATCTGCAGTCAGATGAATCTCTCTACAGACCACTGTCTCCAGTACTCTGTCATCATCATCACCATAATTGCAAAATTATAAGCATGACTTGAAACAGGCTGATTTTTTTGATATGTTGATAACTTGGCTGATTCAGGAGAGACAAATTATATATGGCAAGAGAGGGCTGGCATTTGAAAGAAGCAAAAAGAAGTTTGTTGAATAAAGTAAAGTAAATAAAAGATCTTGGACAAGACTGATGACAAGTCAACAGCTAGTGGTAAGATAAATAAAAAAGACAATATAGAACCATACTTGATGTTTTATATTAGATGAAGCAGGGACAGAAGTAGACTTTGAGAGGACTGATTATTTTGCAAATATTTTTTTATTTTTCCCAACCATTTAATAAGTCCAGCCTACACTAAAGGTGTGCCCTACACCTCTGGCCAGGAGTGAGCTCTCCCCAGCAGTGCAGCTGGTGATGCTGTCAGAGGCAGGCACAGCCATGCCCCAGCGTGTGCCAAGGCTGTACAGCCCCTGCCCATGCCAGCACACAGCTCTCTGCCAGCAGGCCTGGGCTTACCTCTGCCTGCTGTGTGCCTGAAATCACTGTCTCCTCCTTACAGGGTCTGCTGCAGTCACCTGCCACATCCTGGGGACAACTGGCTGTAGTAGCTGGAATTAAATCACAAGGATGTCTCTGGGCTGTGTGCACAGTTTGCTCACTAGAGGCAAGACCTGAATAGCCTTTTGACAAACTGCTCCAATGTCAATTGCCCTCAAAATTTTCCTAGCACAGTAAGGAGGGTTTATAATGAGCAAAGCATAAGAATGTGAACTTTTAGCCAAAAAACAGACCACAGTCAAAAAGAAACCAGTTTATGGGAATAGAGGAAAAGAGCTGCTGAGGTCTGTGTAAGCAAGAAACAGAAAATTGATATTCAAAGGTAGATTATCAAAATGGGGGATTGTAGAGGTAACAGTGGATTGTGCAGCTGAATCTTGATTGCAGACAGGGTGATGGAACAATACACACAAACTGAAATTTTGAATATGCAAGTTCCAGGCTGGAATCCATTTCTGTGATGTCCCTGGCTAGATATTCACTGTATGTGTACACAATGATCAGTCTTTATTGGTGCAATAAAGACAATTGTCCTTTGACACAGGATTCTTGTCTAAAATAATGCAAAACAGATACCAACAGGGAAAAGAAATAAAGTAATACAGATAATTGTAAATTTTTGATTCTCTATGTTTGCTATTTGACTTTGCAAACTAAATATTCTTGTATTAGTATATATTTCCATAAGCTCCCACTAGCTTTCTTTAATAAAAAAATACAGCTATACATGCTCAGAAATGTGTGTTAGGAATTTTAGGTATTTTAATTTAACAAATCAAGCTAGCAATATTGGTTTAGAAGCTTTTGTTAAAAATAATTTTGCAGAATTGCTACAGAGTTCTAATTTATGTACATATGTTTATACTGGATTGTGTCAAACATAGCTTAGGTTAGTATTATTAACTGGACAATATTTTGTACCCTAGAACTAGAGGGAGCTTCCTTATGAGATACACATCACCTACAAAGAAATAAAAGCAGTTTCTATAAGAGATTTTCTATTATGCACCTATTTGAACATTTAGTTTGATAAATTATATTTCCATATTCTATGTTTTCACAATCAGGATGATAAGTTTATACTGGAAAAGTATGTTCTTTTC